GGGGAAAGGATCCAATATGTTGACTTAAAAGCTTAAATGTGAAAAAACTCTTTTTAAAGAATATGTTCTTGTTTGGGGAAAGGATCCAATATGTTGACTTAAAAGCTTAAATGTGAAAAAACTCTTTTTAAAGAATATGTTCTTGTTTGGGGAAAGGATCCAATATGTTGACTTAAAAGCTTAAATGTGAAAAAACTCTTTTTAAAGAATATGTTTTTGTTTGGGGAAAGGGAACATCAAATGTTGCAGAGAGAGAACTACGCAGAGAAGTTGAAGATTTAAAGCTCCGTCTACAGATGGCTGCTGATCATTACAAGGAAAAGTTTAAAGAATGCCAGAAGTTGCAAAAACAAGTCAATAAATATATTAACCATGTAAGTTGTATGTTTATACAATCAATTTATTATTTTGGATGAAGCAGACAATAGAATGCATATCTTTGAAAAAGCGAAGTTCACAGTTACTCCAAGTTGGGTAACTTAAGTTTCATGAATGTTTTAACTATTCATTGGAAGTAAGGCAGGCAATTTAATCGAACTGAGGGACAGTAGACAGAGAGTCATGCCTATATATAATACATGCAAAAATGCAGGAACTTACTCCATTTATATTTGCAACTTCTGGTTAATCCTTATCCAGAATGCTAACAGTTGTCTATTCTAGTTTATCATTTATCTGAATGTTTTCTAAACTCTTGGATAGCATCCTTAGTAGTGTCGGATGATCGTTGAAAAAATGTAATTGCCTTTTAGAAAAGTGTAATATGTTATTTATAAAGGAAGAAGAAAAATATACATTAGTATATTAATAAGAAATATATTAGTAATTATGTATTAGAGGAGGTAATAATGGATAATTTTGTAATATATTCATTGTGATTTGGCAGAATAAATGTTCATCAATTAGCAAAAGTAATTATGTTAGAATTGATCTCTGTCATCCCAAGTAGAATGAAAGGCTCAATTATTATGAGAAAACAGCACATATATTCTCCATTACAACAGGAATTTCTTCTTTCTGTGACTTTATATGGGCTAAATTCCTTCTCCTAATTCTCCTAGATAAATATGTGATATCTGCAGTGAAACTAGTTTTTCTGCATTTTTTTCTGTTACACTAGTTTTTATTGATCATAATTTCAACTGATGATTCTTGATGGGGGCAGGAGGGTATTGCAAGTCCATCAAACTGTAGAAGAAGAAAAACGAAGTTTGAATGTTTATGTGAACCAAAGTACAGAAAAATTTCTGCAGGCTATGAAAACGGAGAACAGCATAAAAACAACAGAAACAAAGGCAGAATATAAGAAAAAACAGCTGGATGACAGATTAAATAGATAGAAAACCAAAGCTTTGCATGGACAGCACTTGAAAAACATTGAAGGAAAATGTGATGACAACTTTACATGGACATGGCTTAAAATGGAAACTATCAAGAAAGAAACGGAAGGTTTAATACTGGCTGCTCAAGAATAGGCACTACAAACTAATGCCATGAAAGCAAAGATATAAAAATCCACTGACAACCCAAACAAAGGGTTGCAGTAACAAAGTCGAAACTGTTTTACATTTAAAATGTGAATGCAGCAAAGTCGCACAAACTGATTACAAAGCTAGACATGACTGAGTTGCTAAATTAATTCACTGGTCATTATTTAAAAAATATGATTTACTTGTATCCAAAAAGTCAGGAGAACATAAAGCGGAAAAAGTTATTGAAAATGAGAAGGTGAAGATCTTGTGGGACTTTCGAATACAAACGGATCTTCATTTGGAGCACAACATGCCAGATATCATAGTTGTAGAGAGCTGAAGTGTACAGTTTATTGATATTGCTGTTCCTGGAGATGCCAGAGTTGAAGAAAGAGAACTAGACAAAATAATGAAATATCGCGACCTGGCCATCGAAACTACATGGCTATGGATGAAGCATGTAACAGTGATACCCATTGTCATCAGGGCGCTTGGTACCATGTCCAAGAATTTTACAAAACACATAAAGAAATTACAGCTTCCTGCAATAACACCAGTAGAATTGCAAAAAAAATGTGCTACTAGGAACATCATATATTTTAAGAAAATACTTAGTTGATATCTAAGATTCTGTCAGCAACCTGAATCAACCATTAGCACCAGTCAATGATATTTGTGGCACATCTTTAAATGTTCAATTGACTGGGTTTCATGTTTAATGAATAAAAGAGATAATAATAACAATAACAACAACAATAATAATACCAAGCGAAACCCAAAGTTTTATTTCATGTCTGCAAAATAAGTATTTGTCTTTTCACTTTTTCTGTCCATCAGCCACAAATATTTATAATCCACAGAAATCCAGAAAGGATTGTTTTCTGTAGCTGTCCCAATCTTGCATTTCCCAAAGTAGTTTCCAAAACAAGATTTAATCTTTAATCCATTTCCTAGCACCAGATGTAGCAGTTCTCAAAACAACTATTATCAATTTCTTGTTAAATCTAACCAGTTTAAAGTATTTCTTTTTGTATATACCAACTTTAGCTAACAGATGAAAGCCTTGCTTTCTTTTTCATTTCCACTAGAAATTAGGAGTCTGGAAAAAGAAAAGAACTTTCATTTAATGTAGCCAAAAAGTGGTTTCGAAAAAATAACTCAATAAAAATACATCATGTCTATATCTTAAATTATACTTATCTTATTAAGGTATTCAGTCTAGTCTTTCTCTTCCAGATGAAAATAGTTATTTCATTACTTCACTTTCATTAACTGTGGGTGTATAATCCGGTCACTCGCCACTTCCAGTGGTGGGAAGAAGTAACAATTCCCTCCCTCTTCCTCTCTGGAATCTCTCTTCTTCACAAAAACATTTTGGTGAATTTAGTTTAAATTCTGGGTTTATTAGGCAATTCTTACCCCAGTTCAATACACTGTTTGTTTTTCCGCTTTTCTTCATTCTGGTTGTCAGAGCTCTGGTTCAGCCATTAATGACTGTCTTCTTCTCCGCCTGTCAGGAAGCTTTTCCTGGATCCACCAAAGTGGACCGTCCTCCACTCAAAATCTATGGGAGACCTTCCTTTCTTGTCACACCTACAAGGTGACGTTTGACTCCAAAGAACCTCTAGGCAGGCATAAATCAGCTGGGCTTCGCAGAGAGCCACTCGCCACAGTTGTTCCAGCATTCCAACGTCAACCAGAAATCTATTCTTAAGACTATCAACTTAAGCTTGCTAGGCTAAATTTTGTGATGCATTAAAATGGCCTACTTTATTAAATATTCTAACAACTATTTATAATTTGATGCATATTATTTCTCCATGTTTCCTTTAACATCCCTTTATCATTTCTCATGACTCTGAGAAATAAGTTTAGAATTACTCCAAAATAGGAGGAAATATTATTTTAAGCATGTGAGTGATAAATATAAATTAGTTGAAGGATTATATTTGGACAAAAGAATTATAACTGGCTAAGGGAAAGAAATTAGGCTAAGTTTATATTTCCATTTTGTTCTACTGATAGGAAGATAATCACACCACAGCTGATGAATTTTAATACTGATCTGTTCAATATCTGCAATGTCCTACTATACTTTAATTTTTAATTCATCTTTTTTTCAAATTTAATTATGACCACTTAAATATTACATTATATAAGTAAAGCCCCTTTTTGATGGTATTTGCATAACTAAAAAGCAATAAAATTCAAAGTGAATACAGATAGTCCTCAACTTACGATGACAACGGAGCTCAAAATTTTTATTGGAGACATTTGTTAAATGAGTTTTGCCCCATTTTACAACCTTTCTTGCCTCAGTTGTTAAGTGAACCCCTGCAGTTGATAGATTATTAACTCCGCTGTTAAGTGAATCTGGCTACCCCATTAATTTTGCTTGTCAAACGGTTGCAGAAATTGATCACATGATCCTGGGATACCGCAATAGTCATAAATATGAATCAGTTTCTAAGCATCTGAAATTTGATTACATGATCATGGGGATGGTGCAAAGGTCATACTTCTGAAAATGGTTATGCCACATTTTTCCATGTAATTGTAACCATTGGACTGTCACTAAATGAACTGTTTTAAGTTGAAGACAACCCATATCATTTTCTATGTATGTTAATATTTAGTATTTTAAAATACATTTCTATTTGGTTTTGATTTTCAAATCAGTGTGTGGTATGTATGCAAATATTTTTAAATAATGGATATATAATACTTAAGGTCACTGCTTATCATATGCAAAAGTCACATTTAGGTTATTTTGCCTAAAATGAGTTTTGTGATAAAATGGTGGCCATGGTCACATGATTGCAATTTATTAGGGTGTTTTTTCTGAAAATTTTCCCTTAATTTTGGTTTCTGGCAAAAAGTGCCTCAAAGCGAACAAATTTGCTTAACAACTGCTGTAAAAGAAGTAATAAAATCAGCTCCAGTCACATGTGACCTGTTTTATAATTATTACAACTTGTGGCCTCAATTACAGTTATAGGTCGAGGACCATCTATATTCCATTTTTTAAAAGTATTTAAAGGTGCATCCATCTCCATATTACCATCCATGTCCCTTGACCTTCTACAGAGAATTTACTACAATCTTTTACATCACAGCCATGCTTTAGAGTAAAAAAGGTGGACTCGCAGATATTGTTAGATATCTAGACTATGTCAAATTATATAGCATTGTATTAAGGGTTCCCTTTTCCTGAGGTATTTAGATAAAGATTCTTAAGACAAAGTTTTGGTTTTGCTTAATTTGTTTTGTATCTGAAGGATTATTTTTATTATATTTGTTTGAAGAACTTGCCATAGAATCCTTTTAATGAAAGAAATATTTTAAATAAAATCTTTTTCATAAAGAAAACTTCAGGGGATCAACTGAATTTGACAGATGGCTCAAAAAAGGAAATTTCTACGGTCGAAGCTGGTGATAAAACATTGCCCACATCTCCAGGTATCAGCTCCTCCTGTGCTCTCTTAGAAAAATAAAGCTGAAATCTAAACATCCCCCAAACCATATATAGCATGCTTCTCTTCCACTGGTAACTCTTCGAAAACTTAAAATCAGAGTGTTTTCGGAGCTAAGATTGGCATAGAATGCAAATCTATATGAATTAATTAGAAGCCTTTTTTTTAAGCAAGGAAAAAGCTTTGTCAAATGCACGTAGGGCTGTCTTCATGAAACAGCCTAGGAATTTCACGTTTTGTTTTAGTTATATTTTTTTTTAAATGCAAAAACTTCATCTGTGTAGGAATTCTTTCTTTTCATTCCAGAGGATGAGGAGAGAACTTATCTTTGATCTATGATTTAGTTAAACATGTAAATAAATAAATAAATAAATAAATAAATAAATAAATAAATAAATCTCCATGCTATCTTCTGTCATGATATTGAAATGATGCATAGTAATTGTAGATTTTAATTAGATAGCTATATCATATGCATTAAATATATCATCAACCTTACTGTTTATAATTAGTATTTCTTAGTGTTTTTATAACAGAAAGCAGTAATTTTCTGTTAATGGTGAAAAGTGTATGGAATGCTCCTCTTCCTTTTTCTGATAGGCAAGATCAGAACTTACATCCTCATTTACAAAGAGGCAATCACTTCCCAGTTCAAAATTGCACTTAGCTTGCACTTAGTTTGCAAGTCTTTGTTTAAACTCCCCTTGTAGCTTTTTTCTCTGGTTCCTTTTTGCTATAGTTGGGAAATGATTAGAGCTCAGCTCTTTTTATCTGGTGCTGCTACAAAACCAGATCTAAGGAGTTTGGGAGGATCATGAGGTGAAATAGTTTGTGGCAGGCTATTTCTGTCTTCTTAGGGACTCTGGCTCCAGTAGAATGCCAGGTATTTTCTTTCAACCATGATTGAGTTCCTCTCTGCTCTTTTGGGCACCAGACAGGCCAGAGTCTAGCAAGATTAGGGAGATTTTTTTCCTCCACTGACTGTGATTGTTGGTATAGCAGTCAATTCAGAGCTCAGTAACTGGATCTTCCCCATCATTCTGTTGCAGACTGCCTACCAATGATCTTGGCATCTGTGCTGCATAGATCCAATCTTTAGCCTTGAAGAATGATGACAATCCTAAACTTTATCCCTACTTGTATATTTTTTTTAACTAACATTAGCAAGAATCACTGTTTTATTTTTCTGTTAAAAAAAAAAAGAACTATACTACTACTTTTTTAGTTTTTGTTTTTGGTAATGACTAAAACTGATGTTGTCATAAAGAAGGCAAGTGAAAACACTGCCTATTATTTTACACTTCACAGTTCTCCTTTGCCAGTCTTATCTGGGGAGGCTATCCATTTCAGGTATCTTTCCAGAATAAGATAGAGAGTTGATTGGGGAATTCTCCTGTTTGCAGAATCAAACTGCTTTGTAATTAGCTTTTAGGCAAGGATCCTTATTCCCTGTTCCCTTTGATGGGAGAAGAGAGGATTATTTGTGCTCTCTTATCATCTTCTGGTTCATCCTGCTTTAATAATTTTAATAATGCAGGTGGGAGGAGGGGAAAGGGTCAGTCTTCCAAAATATATATATGCTGATTTACCTTCAGCTTTAAGCATGCTTTTGCTGTCTTTAACAAAAATCAGTAAATATAAATATCTGGCACCCTTGAATATGTTGTCATCAGAATGTAAACAGACTTCATTTTAATTAGAATTATTCATTTAAAACTATATTTTTCCTCAATATATGCAGTTAGCATCATTTCATCTGATACAGTTTTGGAGTTTTCAGAAAAGGAACAAGATCATGAAAAGAATAAAGAAATTTCTGACAGAACAGTGAAATTTATGAAATGCAAGCCGATGCTGTCAGTAAGTAAAACAGTAAAACAGAAGAAACTAGGGAGTCATCATAGGAAACCTAAGTGTTTTTAATAATTTTATGTCCACATTTGACTTGGATGTATTTGAAAAGTTCTTGTAAGTTAATATCTTTTTATAAGTCATTTAAGTGTCAATCGGAACTGAGTCCTGCTACACATAGCAAAATATATTTATGACATACGGCAACTATTTATCACATTTATTCTTTTGGTGAGGAAATCTGCACTTTCCTATCTATTGTTTCTCAGAAATAAGTCCTGCTTTATTCATATATTGTTAAATATTCATAAATTTGCATTATCTAGGTTACATATGATAGGACTGCATAGTATTGCCCTATCTGAGGCTATTTTTATTCTGTGTATAAAAATAATTTAAAAACATTTGCTGGAAGTCTGAATGTGTACCTTTTTTCCATGTACAGGTTTGCCAATATCAAAAGGGATGAAAAATAAACTCCCAAAGAAATAGGATTATGAATTATGTGTCTGGGCTTTTCTTGAAGAGAATGAATTATTTAATTCAATGAACATGACTAGTATCAAATAATATTCTAAAGATGATTTACTCATAGTCTTGTTTGATTTTACTAGCACTTGATAATATTTCATAACTGATTGCACTGCTTATTGAAATTAAAAGCAATATATTTCTGTTTCTGGATTTAGGGTGCACTTGATAGTTGCAAAACTTTATGGAGTGTGTTTGTAGTGATCCAAAATCCAAAATGAAATTACTTGACAGAAAAAGAATGGTGCATTAGTAGAAGACTACTAAACACTTTGAAGAGGGTTCATTGTTTTATTCTTTAGCTAAAACATCAAATTATATATAATTAGAGGCAATTAATAAGCAACTCAGTTTTTGAATGCTCAGTTAAAAAAATGCCCTGCCAAAAATAATCTGTGGGTTTCTTAAAACTTATTATTTATTCTTTTTCCTTAGGATGAGAAATTGAAATGTACAATGTATGCTGATGAACTGGCCAAATTGGAACTGAAATGGAAGGAGCAAGTGAAAATTAGTGAGAGTGTGAAGGAACAACTAGCTGTGGTGAAAGACCAGTATCTAGTAAGCCTAACAATTATTTAATATGGTTATACAATCTTCTAATTAAAATAATCACTTGCAAGGGAAATTAGAGTTGGTAATTAATAGAAGTGTTTACAGGGACAACCATTTATTTAATGACTATTCTTAAGTTACAGTGGTGCTGAAAAGGGTGATTTATGACTTGAACCTGAACATAAACATTCCACGATCATGTGATCAAAATTTGGGTGGTATTTATGTATTTATGACCGTTACAGGAGCCTGAGGTCACATGATTGCTATTTGTAACTTTTCCAGGGGACTTACAGCAAGCAAAGTCAATGGGGGGAGGGGATTGGATTCACTTACCCACATGATTCACTTAACAGTTGTGTTTCTTGGCAATGGAAGTTCCAGTTCCTATTGTGGTTGTAAATCAAAGGCTAACTGTGCTCACTTTATAGAATCATTGAAGCCAATTTCTGCGATAGAACTATTATCACTGAACATGTCACCTCTTTGTTTCTGTACTGCTTTCAGTGATGCAGAATGATTTATTTTCCTGGCTTTGGGACTATTATGATAGAGAGCTAGCTCTTCTGAACATGAGTTTCAGCATGTCATTTACACAAGGAAGACCATTGTTTTTGTCAATAAGTAGCCTAACTTGAAAAGTGCTCTTTGTTTTCCACACCATAAGTGACTATAGAAGCTCTTGTTTTACAATGAAAGAAAACTTAAGTATTGTAGGAGAGAACAGCCCTAAAATTACCTTTCTAAGTTTCTGTTTTTGTTATATTAAAAAATACATAAATAAGGAATAGTTATGTTAGAAACTTAATTCTGTAAATTAAAATTGGTAATTGACTGGGATTTTTTTATTTTGCTCTCATTGCTTCATGTTCTTTATGTCCTCATCCCAATGTGGTACTTACATTCTATTTTATAAAACATGCATATCAGCAAAATACTTAACATGCTAAATCAGCTTTTTATTTTTGCCAAATGAAAGCAGAGTCCAGTTTAAAGGTTACAGTGTGAAGTCTGATTTCTCATTTATGGATTACATTTTTTTGCCTTGCCTTAATACTTAAGAAAGTTTTGGAAACCAGCCTTAACAACTCAACAAAACATAAGTACGAAAACCAAGTACCGTCAATATAAAGAACTAGGTAGACCAAATAAATAATGATGTGATTTTCCAACACCCACATTGAGAGCATATCTTATAAATTATGACAATAATACTGGTTCTTTATATTAAGTATCTGACCCTGAAAATATATCTGGAGAACTTTTTTTAGTCACATACATTATTTTAATTTGTGTTTTAAATAGATGCAGTTGGCTGAAAAAGACAAAAAAATAGATGAATTGACATCTCACCTAGGAGTTCACAACAATGAGAAGGTACTGATTTAATATCTGTGAACTACTGATAATATATATCTGTCATGTGGCACTTGAAACTATTTCAGTACAAAAAGCTGCACAAGAACAAAATATGAATACTGTAGTAGTTAGAAGGAAAAATTATCTTGGGATATAATTAAATGTGAGTTTGTAAAGTGGTGCAGTGGAATCTTGGTACTCAATTTCTTCAGAACTCATAAAATTTGAGAATGAATTTAATGTGAAAATGTCTTGGTACTCGTTGCTTGTTTGACTTGACATGGTGCAATAGGAAAAGGGGGATGGCCACAAAGAAAGGATAGGAAATCAGCCCTGTCAGGAAGGTTTCTGACAAAGGAAAAGGGACAGACACGAGGTGCTATCTGGTCGGGAAAATGGTCATGTGATAAGTCATGTAGCACTCATCCCTTTTAGTATTCATTGCACCTTCTGGAACCAATTAACGAGTACTAAGGTACAATTATCATGGGAGTTTTAAACTGTTAGATACCTTGTTTGTAAAGTTTACAAGAACATAGGGCAATAGGTTTGTATGATAACTGCGGTGAGCCGCAGTGGCACAGTAGTTAGAGTGCAGTACTGCAGGCTACTTCTGCTGGTCACTGACTGCCAGCAGTTTGATAGATCGAATCTCATCTGGCTCAAGGTTGGTTCAGCCTTCCATTCTTCTGAGGTTGGTAAATGAGGACCCAGATTGTTGAGGGCGATATGCTGGATCTGTAAACGGCTTAGAGGGCTGTAAAGCACTGTGAAGCAGTATAGTGCTATTGCTATAACCAAAGAAATTTAGAAATGTGTATGTTAACTAGAGTATCCCAGCCATGATGATAGTGATGATGATGATTTCAGGGTGGCAACAGATCATTTCTGTATTTAAAAAAAGGAAATAATTTGCACAGTTTTCTTCCATGTCATTATCATACCAACCATTAAGCAGCTCATTTCCCCAGCCTCAAGACATATGGGTATTTCATCTCTGGAAACAAATTTGTATTTTTTCAGGGTCTGAGAATTAAGATATAAGATATATTATAACAGCCATATTGGTTTTAGAAAAGATTTTATTTTATCAAATTTAGAAATTGTTTAGGTAAATATAGATTAAGCAAGGGCATTAGTTTAAGTTTTAGTTAAGGAAGTTTTAAGAATTAAAACATTCAGTATTAAACTAGCAACTGCATCAGAAGTTTTACATAAATTTAAGTTTTATTACTTTTTAGTTATGTTATACTCTTTGGTATAACATAATTTAGATTACTTAAGAAGAAGAAACAAGATACAATATCAAGATAGACATTTATAGTACTGCAAATACGAAGATTTTAAAAATATTTTTATAGATAATGGGAAAAGAGAAAGCTAAATAAAGCAGCCTTAAAAGACTGTTTTGTTCCTTGTATCATAGCATTATTTTTCAACCATTCTTTAGAAACCTGGAAGGAGACCAGAAAATCAAACAGAAAGGATCAAGGAAGGACAGATTTCTCAGCAGGCACTACATTTTCTCAATCCAGATCTTAATTCTGAAGATAATGGGCAGATTCCTGCTACATTACCTAGTATACCACTTCTGCATTATGGAAATCCCTACACAAGCCAGGAAACTAGAGGTTTGAGGATTCAGTTTTTGTCAATTAGTTGTACTAGGAAAAATTCCTTTGGAAGCATATCACAGGTTCTCAAAGCAATTTAATTAATTTGTAGTTGTTGATAAAAGTGGCTGTTACTTTCAAGCATTTTAACTAAAGATAAAGCTATTTCGTAATATGGCCTTTCAGAAAAGGCTTACCATAATTTTATATAATCTGGTGTTCATCTCCTAATTATGATTTCAGGTGGAGCAGATGATGCTTTTTATCCTGATGACATCCAGAGGCCACCCATGAGAACAGCCTCTTGGGACCTTGAAGATAATGTGGTATGCAGTCAGCCTGCTCGTAATTTCAGTCGCCCTGAGGGTTTAGAAGATCTTGAGGATAATAACGTAAGTTTGAAGTTAAAATAACATTTATGTTTCTTATATTTAAGTTATTCCTACATCTCCCATCCAAGAATATCTGAATATTTCTCTGAAAGTTTCCAGTTTAAATGAGATGACCATAATATCTCACTTTAGAAAGTTCATTAAAATCAGTGGCATTCATTTATCATTGTGTAAGTCAGTTGTGGCATTTATTCAAAGATATAAAAATTGATTTTATCTTTGCTAGTCAGTGCCTTTAATTACTATGTTTTTTCAAAGGTTAAAGTGATCAAAAACATGGTCAAAGCACTAATTTCCACACATAGTTCCAAAATTGGAAATCTTTAATCTAGCTGGCATGGGGAGTTACGTTAAAAATTATCTTAATTGGAATACTCTCCCGAAATCTATATTTTGAATTCAAAAGAATGTAATGGTGTTTGTATATCAAGAAAAGTGTTTCTGATAGAGTAACATTTAATTAATGTTAAACATTTAATAAATATTCACCACACATGAACAAAATTCAGGGTTCTACCACAAAACTGTGTTCGACTAAACCACGTCGCTGACGTCATCAACAGGGCGACAACAGCGCGGAGACAGAAGCACGCTGTAAATCCTAAACCTA